AGTTGGCTTGCACACACAGTGTACACACAGTGTACACACACACAGTGTACACACACACACACAGTGTACACACACACAGTGTACACACACATAGTGTACACACAGACAGTGTCCACCAAAACCGGTCCACAGTTGGCTTGCACTGAAGCAATGCTGCAGTAATTATGGACTCGCAGGAAGGCCGTGGGATTTATATTTCGTGTTCAACATTCCTTTGTTTAGTGGAGAGACCGATTAAATTAAAGACGTCTTATCTGCTGATCTTGTTCATATCTGTGTACATCGATATCCCACATTGCTTGCACATACACACCACACGCAATTAAATCAATAAAAATAAGAACGACTTCCGGGCATTGCGAAGATGGAGGAATCTCTTTCAATGGAGCAAGTTCAGTGTGTTCGATTCAACATCTCTCTGTCCGTCTGTGTCATCTGTTTGCCTCTGTGTTTCTTTCTGCCTGTGTCTCTCTGTCGTCTCTGTGTTCCTCTTGTCTGTGTCTGTCCGCCTGTCTTGTCTGTGTGTGTCTCTCTATCAGCGTCTATCCAACCGTATTCAACGACTGTCAGTAGCAACACGCGCCCGGTCAACTTCCACGGCCCGCGACTCAAACTTGTTTATCTGTAACTTTCGCACCATACCTAGCCAACCATTTTAATCCATGGGTCTCTGTGTGTATATAACTTCTTTCGCACCATACCTAGCCAACCGTGTTAATCCATGGGTCTCTGTGTATATAACTTCTTTCGCACCATACCTAGCCAACCGTGTTAATCTATGGGTCTCTGTGTGAGTCTCTGTGTGTGTATCTGTGTGAGTCTCTGTGTATCTGTGTGAGTCTCTGTGTGTGTATCTGTGTCTGTGTGTGTATCTGTGTGAGTCTCTGTGTGAGTCTCTGTGTGTGTATCTGTGTGAGTCTCTGTGTGTGTGTCTGTGTGTGTATCTGTGTGAGTCTCTGTGTATCTGTGTGTGTATCTGTGTGAGTCTCTGTGTGTGTATCTGTGTGTATCTGTGTGAGTCTCTGAGTCTCTGTGTGTGTATCTGTGTGAGTCTGTGTGTGTATCTGTGTGAGTCTCTGTGTGTGTATCTGGAACTTATTTCGCACCGTACGTAACCGAACCTGCCCAGGAGGAGCGGCTGGTATCATAAATCTCTTGCCTTATTGCCTCAGCAACTCGGTGTTTCGTATCGAACCTCATCTCAAACAATGGAAGGTCGCCCCCTAGTGGCAGCTGCCCCTGTGTGGCACAAGGTGGCCCTGCACCGGTCTGCACGTGGACATGAGTCTGTCGGTAAGGGGCGATCATTGACGCGTCATCTCCCTTGTGGAGTTTCTGGATAGTGTTACTGGAATTGCCACAATTTTGACCGTGACACCAACATGCAATGTGCGTTGTGAGTGACACAGTGGTTTGTTTGACATCCGCTGTTAAGCAGACTGCGCATGTTGTGGTGAATGTTACAGGGGTAGCCAGATATGCCTGTCGGATTTGAACCTTGAACCTCTGCAACAAATAGAGAATGCGCTACCATGTTCCTGGTTCTTTTGGTAAAGTCACGTAGATAGAAAACAAAAAATAAAAGATAAAAATAATAAATTAAAATTTTAATAATACAAATAATTAAAAATAATAAATTTAAAATAAATTGATGAAAAGATGCCATGGGTCGACTGAGATGACTGACCAATGCACCACCTGTGCCCCCTACTACACACACACAGTGTACACACACACACTGTATACACAGTGTATGCACAGTGTACACACACAGAGTGGACACACAGTGTACACACACACAGTATATACAAACAGTGTACACACACACAGTATACACACAGAGTGGACACACAGTGTACACACACACAGTGTATACAAACAGTGTACACACACACAGTGTACACACAGTGTACACACAGAGTGGACACACAGTGTACACACACACAGTATACACACACAGAGTGGACACACAGTGTACACACACACAGTGTATACAAACAGTGTACACACACAGTATACACACAGTGTATACACACAGTGTACACACACACACAGTGTACACACACACAGTGTATACACACAAACACAGTGTACGCACACACAGTGTATACACACAGTGTATACACAGTGTACACACACAGAGTGGACACACAGTGTACACACAGAGTTTGCACAGTCACCACATCTTCAAAAACACCAGAGGACACAGGAGAGAAACCCTTCAAGTGCACTCAGTGCAGGAAGGCCTTTTCAGAGTCATAATTTTGTAACACACCAGAGAACACAAGGGAGACCGCATCGCCCTGTGGACCTCCAACGCTGACAGCAGCGAGGCCGTCATTACCATCGGGTGAGCGAGACGCTCACCTACTGACACATCCAACTCACATACCAACTCACATACTCACCAACTCACCTACTCACTTACCTACTCACCCACCTAGTCACCTAATCACCCACTACTCACCCACCTACTCAGCCACCTACTCACTCACCGACCACCCACCTACTCACTCGCCCACTCACTCACCTACACCCACTCATCTACTCACCCACTCAATCACCTACTCACTCACCAACTAACCCATATACTCACCCACCCACTCACATACTCATATACCAACTCAGCCACTCATTCACTCACCCACTCGCTCACCCAATCGCTCACCCAATCGCTCACTCAGCCACTCACTCAGCCATTCACTCACCTACTTGCTCGCTCGCTCGCTCACTCACCCACTCGCTCGCTCACTCAACCACTCGCTCACTCACTCAACCACTCGCTCGCTCACTCACCCACTCGCTCAGTCACTCACTCACCCAGCCACTCATTCATCTACTCTCTCACATTCACTCTCCCACTCAGTTTCCTACTCACTCAGCCACTCAATCACCTACTCAGCCACCCACTCAGCCACTCACTCACCTACTCACTCACCTACTCACACAGCAACTCACCCAACACCTACTCACTCACCGACTACCCATCTACTCACTCACCCACTCACTCACCCACCTACTCACCCACCCATGCTAATGACGATGCTGGCTGTCTTTGTCTCATCTCTCTCGCCGTGTCTCTCTGACCGTGTCTTTGTCTGCGTGTCTTTCTGACGGTGTCTGTCTGCGTCTCTCTGTGTCTCTCTCTTTGTCTGTCTCTCTGTCTGTGTCTCTGTCTCTCACTGTCTGTCTCACTCACTGTGTATCTCTGTCTATCTAGGCGTGTGTACAAGCGCAGGCTGGGCTTGCCTGCCGACACGATCATCGCTTATCAGGCACACGGAGACAGCATGGCCAAGAGCGGACAGCCCTGGGCGGACAGCGTCCGGCAGACATCGGCGCGGTCGGACAGTGAGAGAGCAGGGGGCGGAGAGACAGCGGCACGAGCTGGAGGAGACACGGGGTGGTGGGACACGGGGAGAGAGAGACACGGGGAGAGAGAGACATGGGTAGAGAGAGACACGGGTAGAGAGAGACACGGGTAGAGAGAGACACGGGTAGAGAGAGACATGGGTAGAGAGAGACACGGGTAGAGAGAGACACGGGTAGAGAGAGACACGGGTAGAGAGAGACATGGATTGAAAGAGACACGGGGAGAGAGAGGTGGGCAGTGTTGAGCAATTGGGCAGTGTTAGTCTATGGGCCGTGTTGAGTATATGGGCAGTGCTGAGTTTATGGGCAGTGTTGAGTCTATAGGCAGTGCTGAGTCTATGGGTAGTGTTGAGTCTATGGTGCAGTGTTGAGTCTATGGGCAGTGTTGAGTCTATGGGTAGCAGTGTTGAGTCTATAGGTGGCAGTGTTGAGTCTATGGGCAGTGTTGAGTCCCCCCACTCACCCACTCACTCACCCACTCACTGACCAAGCCACCCACCCACTCACTTACCCACTCACCCACTCATCCACCCACCCACTCACCCACCCACTCGCTCACGTACCCACTCAATCACCCACTCACTCACCCACCCACTCACTCACCCACCTACTCACCCACCCACTCGCCCACTCACCCACGCACGCGCTCACGCTCACTCACACACACACACGCACACACACGCGCTCACGTTCACTCACGCACACACGCACGCACACACGCTCACGCTCACTCACGCACACACACGCACACATGCACGCACACACGCACACACATGCACGCACACACGCACGCACACACGCTCACGCACGCACACACACACGCTCACTCACGCACGCACACACACACGCACAACCACGCCCTCACGTTCACGCACACACGCACACGCACGCACGCACACACACACGCACACACACGCGCTCACGTTCACGCACACACGCTCACGCACGCACACACACACGCTCACTCACGCACGCACACACACACGCACACACACGTCCTCACGTTCACGCACACACACACGCACACACACACGCTCACTCACGCACACACGCACGCACACACTCACGCTCACTCACGCACGCACACACACACACGCGCTCACGTTCACGCACACACACACACGCCCCCACCACCGCCCTTTATCCCCCCCTCCCCCTTAGGTAATGGGCGGTGCCATTCGGCACATGGGAAGTGACGTCACGCCAGGCGCTGCCCCACCCCCACCACCCCCCTTTATCCCCCCTCCCCCGCAGGTAATGGGCGGTGCCGTTCGGCACATGGGAAGTGACATCACACCAGCTGCTGCCCCGCCCCCACCTCTCCGTCACCCATGCGCCAGCGCTCAGCGCCATTTTCCCGCGGGCGTAGTCGCCGAGAGGCCCCCAGCGAGCCCGGGACCCCGACAGCAGCCAGACCCCCGGAGCCACGGGGATCCCTTCCCGAGATCAGGGAACAACCCCCTCGCCAACACCGCCCACAGCACGAATCGGGGACCTCGCAAACGGCAGCAGCAGCAGTCACCCTCGCTACCCCCTTGCTGAGACTGGAGAGAGCTCCCTTCTCTGAGGCGAACTTGAGGGGATTCAGGGACCCCCCCCCCCCCGCCCGCGAAGACGGAACCCCCGAAATGAGGGGGCTGTACCCCAGGGTGCTGCTGCTGCTACCCCTGCTGCTGCTGGGCGCGGTGAGAGCGGAGGAACAAAGCCGCGAGTCTCAGGTAACGGGGCCTCACACCCCCAAACGCGTCCTCATCCCCTTCATCCCCTTTTCAAGCTCGTTCGTCAGCCCCCCCCCCTCACATCCCTCTACCACTTACACTGCTTCCCCCCACCCCACCCACCTCACCACCAACCTCCCACCTCACCAACCTCCCACCCCACCACCCCCCCACCTCACCACCCCCCCACCCCACCAACCTCCCACCCCCCCACCCCACCAGCCTCCCACCCCAACATTGCCAGCAGCACCTGTGGCGAGGGTGACGGTGCCACTTTGGAATCCTCGCTGGCACAATGGCCGAGTGTCCTCACCTCCGTCTGCCACCCTCACCACCGCCGCCACCACCACAGCTGTTGCCCCCCCCTCCCATGCCCCCCCCCGCTCCACGCGGCCTTAACGGATCACTTCCTGCACCACGCAGCTTTGCGCTGTGCCGAATAAGCAGCAGGCGTTGAGTCCACGACCTCTGACCCCGCTCCCCCAACCGTATAACCGGAGTGGCTGAACGCAGCGTTTGAGGTAGGGTTGAGACGACGTAGAGGTACTGCTGCCTTGTGTGAGCGCAGTTACGGTGCGAGCGACGCGTCTTCACCATTCACTTTGACGTGTGTCTTTTTATTTTTCGATTTAAAGCTTTCGTGACTGCAAGGATTCATCTTCTTTGGTTCTTTCGGTAAAGTCACCACCACGTAGAATGAGAATAAATTAATAAAATGACACGATAAAATACTTACGACGTTTCGGCCACAACACAAGTGGCCTTCAGGTGAAGGAACAGACCTGTCGGGACGACTTGAAGCTCTGTCGTCCCGACAGGTCTGTTCCTTTCACCTGAAGAAGGCCACTTGCGGTGTGGCTGAAACGTGGGAATTTTATTGTGTTATTTTATTAATTTTAATTATTTTATTCTCATTCTATGTGGTGGTGACTTTACCGAAAGAACCAAAGAAAAAGCGTACCCTTTTATCCGCAGCTGGCGTTGCTATTCGGAGTTTATTTTCCGGGTTTAGGCCACGCAACGATCCGGCCAAATTTATGTCGTTAAGAACACCCCCCACCATCGGACCCCCAAGCAAATTGAATCGCCGTGGGTGAAATGAGCGTCTTAACGGTACGCCCGTTATTAATTTCGCCTCGAAATTGCGGATTAGAAGTCGGAGTATAATTAAACTATTTCAAACTTTTTTTTATTTCACCAGGTAAAGCCCCACTGGGTTATGTAGCTCGCTTTCAGAAGCGTCCTGCCCACAAACGATAGCCCGATGAGGCGGTTAATCACGTGGGCATCTTTAGCGTCACAAACAACTCCCAAGCGCACGTTGACTCTAAATGTGCAGGTAAAAACCTGTAAGAACCGGAGAAAAATCCACACGGCCACGGGGAGAACACGCAAACTCCAAATACACAGGCACCGTTAGCGTCGGCATCGAACCCACGACCTCCGGCACACCAGGCGAGGTAGTTAACATCTCGCCACCGTGGGGAAACGTGAAGTAAGCGACTTGGCACGCGCGGCAATCTTCAGGTTCAGGGGCCGAGGCAAATGGGAACGGTCGGCCGGTGTCGTCGACGCGTGGCCCAACGCGACCAACGTCGCTTGTGAACTTCGTGACGTTGACCGCGCTACCCCCCCCCACCCCCCCCACGTGACGAAATGGGGGGTGGGGGGGGGGGCGGCCCGGCTGGATTGTCGAGCGGCGAGGAGCGGCGGTCGCAAAGTCGCGCGTGAGAGAGAGAGAGGGGGGGGGGCGATCGCGGCACCGTTAGCGTCGTCCCAACTGAGTCGCCGCCGCCGCTTCGTCTCGCAGGGAAGGCACGGGGGGACGCCCAAGCGGGAGACGGAGCGCCAGGAGGAGGAGGAGCGCCAGGAGGAGGAGGCGGGCGTCGGCGCCGCGGGGGCGGAAGAGGGCGCAGCGCACGGAGGCGAGGGCGGCGTGCTCGCGTTCCGCCGGCTGCGAAGCCGCAGGCGGCGCCGGCAGAAGCGCGGCTGGCTCATCCCGGCGATCAACGTCCCCGAGAACGACCGCGGGCCCTTCCCCAAGGGGCTGGTGCAGGTGAAGGTCCCCCTGCACTCTTCCCCCCCCCCTTGCCCCCTCTACCCCGGCACCCCTCCCCCACCAGCAAGAAAGGGGGGCCTGGGTTCGATTCCCAACTCGGGTGCCCTGCTGCCTACGTTCAACCCCCTGTTGAGCAGTGTGTGAATGTCACGCGTTGGTGAGTGTGAGGGTGAATGTGTGTGTGTGGCATGTGGTGTATGTGTCTTTGGGGTTCGTGGTGTATTTAGCATGCCATGTATCAGCATGTGATTTTTGTGTGTATGTGTACATGTATATATGTTGGGGGAGCGGTGGTCAATTGGTTAGCACACACTGCGCTCTGAACCTGGAGACGTGAGTTTGATTCCCACTTACGGCTAACACCCAGTGACAGTTATCTGAACTTGGTCTCAACTAAGTACACGGTGCGGTGTATAACCGTCTCCACACTGGGGAGATAAAGGCGGCCGGGTGTGTTGGTAACCGCATATCGCACCCCCTCGTGTGCCACGCCAGCCTTCACGTTTGCTGCCGCTCGCCAACCGCGCTTGCCCCGGCAGCCTGCTGAAGGCCATCCGGGGTATCTTTGCGTACGCGTATTCATGCGATGTACGAGCGTGGCTATCGTGCGGAGCGTAACGCCGCCCCCTGCCGCCTCCCCTACCCCGTCCGCGTCCGCCCCCGCAGATCAAATCGAACACGCGCGGGAAAATCCGCTACAGCATCGTGGGGCCCGGCGCCGACCAGAACCCCACGGGGGTGTTCGTCGTAAACTCCGTGACCGGGCGCCTCTCGGTCACCAAGACCCTGGACCGTGAGCTAATCGCAGAGTATCTGGTGAGGCGCCCATGCTAACACACACCCACGTGTGTGTGTGTGTGTGTTCGCGAGCACGCCCACGCGCGTGTTAGCGAGCACACCCACGTGTGAGTTAGCGAGCACACCCACGTGTGTGTTCGCGAGCACTCCCACGTGTGTGTGTGTGTGTGCGTGTGTTAGCGAGCACACCCACGTGTGTGTGTGTGTGTGTGTTCGCGAGCACATCCACGTGTGTGTTTGTGTTCGCGTGGTAAGGTCCAGGCCTCTATTGCGGAGTTTTCTCAAATTTCCTGGCCCCCGGACCACTCGTTCAGTGTAAACATTTACATGGTGCAACCCCCTCCCGCCCCTGGTGACACAAACCATTCACTTCTCTAAATACCAATATTGCTCAATTATATTCATATTACCGGAACATTAAAAGAACGTTAACGCAGCTATAACGGTTCAGATCTCAGGGTTCGGGTAGTTTTAATCGGGGTGGTTAACTTAATTTCATTTTTCAATTTTAAATATCACGAGTAAAATATTAATGTCCGAAACAAAAGGCGTAATAATTTGCGGATCAACCTGCAATTAGCATCGCAGCCCAGCGGACCTCCAGGAGTACCGTCCCGGACCGTCGATGGTCCAGGTACTACCCTTAGAGAACCGCCGCTCTAGAGGGATGTTTGGCCAACTCTAAACATCCCAACACCACCACAACAACAACGACGAGACGCAGGGACAAAGGATCCCTTATATAGCGCGTCGTAGACGGTTGAGGCAAGTGCTGTTAGCGAGCACCGCATAAAGGCCAACATTTGTGCACGACGGGGTGGGTGGCCAGCAACCCCACCCACGCTTTTGTCTCCAGAGTGGCGACGTTTACACGGCGGGGCAATCGGGGGCGGCACCAGTGACAGTGGGACCCAGGGGCAGCCCAGGGCAGCTCCAATGGCGATGAGAACCAGGGCGCCGAACAACGACCAGTCCCCACGCGCTTTCTTGCGTGTGCCGCACGTTGCGTGTGCGTTGCGTGTAACGCACGTGTGCGTTGCGTGTGCGTTGCGTGTGCGTGGCGTGCCCGCGGCAGCTCAAGGGCCACGCGGTGGACATGAAGGGGCATCCGGTGGAGAACCCCGTGAAGCTCGTCATCAACGTCATCGACATGAACGACAACCGGCCCGAGTTCGCCACGCCCGTTTTCCAGGGCTCCGTGGCTGAGGGATCCCCACCAGGTGCGGCGTACGGACGGGCACAGACGGGCGCGGTGCTGACGGGGGTGTGATAGTGATAGCGCCCGCCTGGGTATTTTGTACCATCGGACACTCAACCCCCACAACTCTCAATTGGTGATGGGGCAGTTGTGGAGAGAGTGGAGAGTTTACCCATACCGGGGCAGTGTGCTCATGACCAGCTCCGGTTTGACTCCACCCCCACAACTATCAATTGATGATAGGGCAGTTGTGAAGAGAGTGGATAGTTTACCCATACCTGGGCAGTGTGCTCATGACCAGCTCCGGTTTGACAGCAGAGGTCTCACTCTGAATCAGTTGAGCGGCAATGTCTTTTCATCGGTTGCGTAACGCCGTGTGGAAGCTTCCTGGTCTGTTGCTCTGCACGAAGGTTCAGGTCTTCTCGGCCACGGTCATTCCCTCCCTTCTCTACGCTTGCGAAACGTCGACCCCCCGAATGGAACATCTTCGCCGGTTAAAAACATTTAGACTGGCCTGCCTACGATTCATCCTGGGTTTAACCAGGCAGGCTGGATTGTGTGAGGAGCTCACAAATCCTTGAAAGATCTGGACAAAGTCCCATCGGTGAGCTCCTCCGGCATATGGCTGGGTCATGGAGCCCGCATGCCCAGCCACCGCATGCCGAAACAGCTTATGTTCGGCCGGGTCGAGGGAGCTAAACAGGCGCGGCACGGGCTAGAGAAGAGACGGAGTGATGTGGTACAGGAGGATGTGGAGCTGAGCGGACTTGCCGGTGTCAAGATCGGCTTCTGTGGAGGAGGCTCATGAAGGATGCTACTGGGCAGTTGGAGGCAGCCGCCCTCCAACAACAACGGAGGGCGGAGGAGCGACACTCACAACAACGAGCGGAGCGCCGGGTGGCTAAAGCACAGCAAGTTGGCACAGTAGGGGGCACAGGTGGTGCATCAGCCAGTCGTCTCAGTCAGTCGACCCGTGGCATTTGGGTCTGCCCTTTGACCGCCTCCCAGCGGGCGTTCGACACTTCACGTGGCCTCAACGTGCACACAGCCTGGCACAAGCGTCGTGGTGATGTCACCGCCACTTAGTGGCGAATGGCGGTTGTTGTTGTGATGGTGGTGGTAGTGGCAGTGGGGATATTGGTGGTGAATGTGGTAGAGGTGGCAATAGGCATGGTGGTGATGTTGGTAACAATGGCAATGATATTCTTAGTTTTTTCGGTAAAGTCACGTTGAAGAGAAACAACAAAATAACAAAATATATATAAAACAATAAAAAATTCTCACGACGTTTCGACCATAACTCAAACGGTTATCATCAGGTGTGTCGGTTTGCATAAATTTATTTTTAAAACGGCACATTTATTTATTTATAAAAAACGTTGGCGTCACGCGCAGCGATTGGCAGTTTGCCCAGGACTAGTCCATCTATTTTTTTTTTGAAAAGAGGAGGGGGGAGACGAAATTTTTATAATGTATGCTGTCTGAAAGCCACTGTAAGCGTGAACAATCAATCAAGAACTGAAATGATTTATCAAATCTTTCCAATGATTGCTAAGATAGAATCCATCTCGGTTGAAATTGTCTCTGTGCTTGTATATGTGGATAGCCTCATGAACGAATCTCTCATGGAAGCCAGATGGCTTACAAAGAACCTCCGTCTTGCAGCAACTGCCGCCGATTGGCAGACGTCAGTCCGGGGGGTGGTGGCTAACCTCCGGGGTTGTGTGTACGGTGTTACGTTCGCGTGTTTTCAGTCATGTATGCACGTTGCGTTGATCGTCAAGTCGCGCGCCGTACGCAGGCGACCGCGCTGATCGGAGGTGCGAGGGAAGGGCGAAAGGCTCGACACGAAAAGCAGCTCTGAAGAAACGAGTTTTCAGTCTGGATTTAAAAGTGCACAGCTACAGTGGCTTCCTGATATTGTGTGGTGCCCTAATAAAGTATTAAAGCTTTCGTGACTGCATAAAATTACTCATTGGTTTTTTCGGTAAAGTCACGTATGTATTAGAACAAAAAAACAATCACGACGTTTCGATCACAACGCAAGCGATCTGCATCAGGTGTCAAGAACAAATCGTGGAGGTGAATACAGCAAAAAGATGAGAGACGAGAATTCAACAAACCTGAAAAAACATTACGTGAAGCACATCCAGTCAGGCCAACAACACAGACACTTCCTGGCGGACCACGAATTTCAGAAGAGTGTTAAATTTCGTGTTCAACCTTTGGATTGCACATACCAGCATAGATAGAATGAAATAAATGTATTTCTACTGACCATGTACCTCGTATTGTGTGGTGCCCTGTGTCTCGGAAGCGACGGTGACGCTGCTAGCACGCCGCGCTACGAACCCGGGGACCTGAGTCCGGTCCAACACCGCTGACGGTCGACTCGGCCTCAAATGAGTAACCTGCTGCAGTGTGAAAACATCCCCACTAGGGAGACAAAGGCGGCCGGGCGTGATGCTGGCCACCCAGCACGAAGGTCTGTCGAGGCTGCACGAGGAATGTTTGTCCTCGTCGTTTTGTTGCTCATCTGTAAGAGTCGTGCGTCTGCGTGCCCCGTCTGTGTAGAGGACGCCGCAGTACGTGCTGGTGGTGCAGGCCTTGGACATGGAGGGCGACCCGGACATCGGCCTCGCAAACACGGCCACCACCATCGTCACCATCACCGACAAAAACGACTGCCCCCGAGTTTACGGGCATAACCGTACGCACCGCCGCCACCGCACAAAACCACACCGCGCCACCAGATCACCCGCCTAGACGTTACATGGCCCGTAGATTAACATTGCACGTAGATTTACATCGCACATCGACGAAAATGGCCCGTAGACTTACATTGCCTCTAAATTAACATTCGCCATCGACTAACATTTCCCGGTTGGCAAGATGTTCACTTCCTTGTGTGGTATGCGGAAGGTCGTGGGTTTGGCCCTGACGCGTGTATATTTGTAATTTGAATGTTCTCCCCGTGGTGGTCTTGCGGGCTTTACCCTCCACACCCAGATTTTAATGTGCGTTCAAAGCTGTTGTACACATTTCCACGTGATGATGAGCCACTTCGCTGAGCTACCATTTGGTTGCTTCTAAAAACAGAGCTGCATAGCTCCGTGCTGTGGGGCCTCACCTGGTAAAATATTTTTATTTTTGAGACTGGCGGAACAATGAATCTGACGACGTCCCCCCCCCACCACCGTCTCCGCCGCAGTTCAGCGGTACGGCGCGCGAGAACGCGGTGAACGTGACGGTGACGACGCTGACGGCGACAGACGTGGACGAGTCCGGCACGCCGGCGTGGCGCACTCGCTACGTCGTCCGCGCCGGGGACCCCGGCAAGAACTTCGCCGTGGAGACCGACCCCCGCACCAACGACGGCAGGCTCTACGTCGTCAAGGTGGGGGGGGGCACGGTGGTGGGGGGGGGGGGCGGGGGGGGGGGGGGCACGGGGGTGGGGGGAGGGCGGTGGGGGGGGGGTCTGTCACGCGCTGCCGCTGCGGAGACGGTGATGGTGGTTGGGTAGTGATAGTGGTGGTGATGATGGTGATGCTGATGGTCGTGGTGATGGCGTAACGTAGGTGATGGTGATGATGATGGGGTAGTGATGGTGGTGATGGTGATGCTGATGGTCGTGGTGATGGTGTAACGTAGGAGACGGTGATGGTGATGGGGTAGTGGTGGTGGTGATAATGGGGCTGTGGTGAAGGTGCCGATTATGGAGTAGCGGTGGTGATGATGGGGGTGGTGATGGTAATGGTCGTGGTGGCGGGGGAGGGTGATGTGGTGATAATGGTGATGGGAGTGGCGTCGCGATGTTGTTGATTGGGTGGTGGTGATGGGGGGAGAGGTGGCGTGGTGGTGGTGATGCGATGATAGGGTAGTGATGGTGAATGCGGTGGCTGATGGTGAAATGAGGTTGACATGGCAATGCTGGTAATGGTCGCGTAACGATGATGATGCTGATGATAGTGATGGTGGTGGCAAGGCGAAGTTCGTGGCGATGTTGCCGGTGGGCGACGGCGGTGACGACGTGGGGATGGCGGCGGCGGTGACTGTGGTGCAGCGGTCGTGACGGTGTTGGTGATGACTCAGCGTTTGATTGGTGGGAGGGTAACGTTGTGCGTGGTTGGTGTGTGGTGTGTGTGGTGTGTGGGGTGTGTGCGTGGTATGTGTGTGTGGTTGGTGTTTGGTGTGTGTGTGGTGTGTGTGCGTGGTTGGTGTGTGGTGCGTGGTGAGTGTGTGTGGTGTGTGTGGTGTGTGGTGTGTGTGCGTGGTTGGTGTGTGGTGCGTGGTTGGTGTGTGTGTGTGGTGTGTGTGTGGTGTTTGGCGTGTGTGTGGTGTGTGTGTGGTGTTTGGTGTGTGTGTGGTGTGTGTGGTTGGTGTGTGTGTGTGTGTGTACGCCGCAGCCCTTGGACTTTGAGAGCTCGTCCAAGTACAACCTCGTCATCGCCGTGGAGAACGAGGCGTCGCTCGAGAGCGCCGAGTTCGGACCGGCGAGCATCGCGACCGTCACCGTGAGTGCCCCCCGCGGCCCCCCGCTGCCCCCCGCGGCCCCCCACAAGTTTCGCCCCCCCACAGCTTCCTGCGCCGCTCGCGGGGGCAGATCTGATACCGCCTCAGACGGCGAAACTTCAGTCGCGCACGTTTGTTATCGACAATTTTTCTCGGCCGATGAGAGCGAATGACTTAAGCACCCCGATGTTTACTTATTTCAAGTCCAGTAGACCTTTTTTTTCACAGGTGTCTCCTGGACATCTGTGCCGTCACCAGCGCTGTGAAGCACAGCGCTGGTGACGGCCGCACCGCCTCCCGCACGACCGCCCACACCGTGCCCCCCCCCCCCACCTCTACAGGTGCTCGCTAACAGCCCCCCCCCCCACCCCGCCGCCCACCCGGTAGGTGACGGTGGAAGACGAGAACGAGGGGCCGACGTTCGAGCCGCTGCGGCGGGAGGTGAAGCTCCCCGAGGGCCTCCCCGTGGGCCACCACGTGACCACCGTGGTGGCCCGTGACCCTGACACCGCGCAGGGGCAGGCCGTGCGGTGAGGCCTTCCCCAGCCACACTCCCCCCGGCCGCTCCCGTCGCCGCCCGGACAGCCGGCAGCCGACCCTTCCTCCCGCCCTCCGTGTGTGTGTGCGCCTCACCTGTGTGTGACTCACTCTGTTCGGCTGTGTGACACTAAGCTGTGTGAATCGCCTGTGTGAACTCTGTTCAGCTGTGTGTGTGACTCACCTCTGTGTGTGAGACTCACCTGTGTGTGAGACTCACCTGTGTGTGAGACTCACCTCTGTGTGTGACTCACCTCTGTGTGTGACTCATCTCTGTGTGAGACTCACCTCTGTCTGTGACTCACCTCTTCATCTGTGTGAGACTCACCTTTGTGTGTGACTCATCTCTGTGTGTGACTCATCTCTGCGTGAGCCTCACCTCTGTGTGAGTCTCACCTTTGTGTGTGACTCACCTCTGTGTGTGATCTCACCTGTGTGTGAGACTCACCTGTGTGTGTGACTTACCTGTGTGTGAGACTCACCTGTGTGTGAGACTCACCTGTGTGTGTGACTCACCTGTGTGAGACTCACCTGTGTGTGAGACTCACCTGTGTGACCCACCTGTGTGTGAGACTCACCTGTGTGTGTGACTCACCTGTGTGTGTGTGACTCACCTGTGTGTGACTCACCTGTGTGTGACTCACCTGTGTGTGAGTCTCACCTGTGTGACTCACCTGTGTGTGAGTCTCACCTGTGTGACTCACCTGTGTGTGAGACTCAACTGTGTGACTCACCTGTGTGTGAGACTCACCTGTGTGTGAGACTCACCTGTGTGTGAGACTCACCTGTGTGTGTGACTCACCTGTGTGCACGTGTGTCTGTGTGATGGGGCCGCGCGCAGCTACAAGAAGCTTTGGGTGCCGGGCGACTGGCTGGACATCGACCCCGTGAGTGGCAAGGTGACCACGGCCGTGGTGCTGGACCGCGAGGCGGCCCTGGTGCAGGGCAACACCTACACGGCCACCTTCCTGGCCACGGATGACGGTGAGGGCTGCCCCCACAATGCATCCACCCCCCCCCCCCCCCCCCCCCCCTGTTTACAGACACGCCCCAGCTACACCACATTCACTCGCTTATTCACTCGTCATCACACCACGCTTACTCACCACTCACTCACTATCACTGGCTTACTCACCATCACTGATTTACTCACTCACCATCACTGGCTTACTCACTATCACTCACTCACCATCACTGGCTTACCACTCACTCACTATCACTCACTCACTATCACTGGCTTACTCACCACTCACTCACTATCACTCACTCACTATCACTGGCTTACTCACCACTCACTATCACTCACTCACTATCACTGGCTTACTCACCACTCACTCACTTTCACTCACTCACTATCACTGGCTTACTCACTCACCATCACTGGCTTACTCACCATCACTCACTCACTCAACCATCACTGACTTACTCACTCACCATCACTCACTCACCATCACTGACTTACTCACTCGCCATCACACACTCGCCATCACTCACTCACCATCACTCACTCACTTACTCACCATCACTGACTTACTCACCATCACTGACTTACTCACCATCACTCACTCACCATCACTGACTTACTCACTCGCCATCACACACCATCACTGACTTACCATCACTCACCATCACTGACTTGCTCACTCGCCATCACTCACTCAGCATCACTCACTCAACATCACTGACTTACTCACTCACCATCACTCACTCACCATCACTGACTTACTCACCATCACTGACTTACTCACCATCACTGACTTACTCACCATCACTCACTTACCATCACTGACTTACTCACCATCACTCACTCACCATCACTGGCTTACTCACCATCACTGACTTACTCACCATCACTCACTTACCATCACTGACTTACTCACCATCACTCACTCACCATCACTGGCTTACTCACCATCACTGACTTACTCACCATCACTCACCATCACTGACTTACTCACCATCACTCACTCACCATCACTCACCATCACTGACTTACTCACCATCACTCACCATCACTGGCTTACTCACTCACCATCACTCACGATCACTCACTCACCATCACTGACTTACTCACTCGCCATCACTCACTCACCGTCGCGCCGCGCTCGTTCGCCATTTCCCGCACCTTCGATTGGCGTGTGTGGCTTCTCCTTAAAGGTGCAATTCACAAAATGAGTGAGTGGGGTGCGTCTGTAGGTAGACTCAGCCTTACAATGCGTCCCTGGTGTGGTATGTTTGTGTAACCGGTCCACGTCTGGAGCGGCGGTGGAAGGGTCGGCGCGCTGCATTACAAACCCGGCAAGCCGAGTTCGATTCCCGCTCACGCCCAACATTGATGACGATTATTATCCGAATCGGTCTCCCCTTGGTTGACTCGGCCTCAAACAAGAGTACCCAGTGCCGTGTGTGTGTGGGTAAACATCCTCATTGGGGAGACAGAGGTGTCGTGTGTGTGTGTGAACATCCTCACTGGGGAGACAGAGGTGTCGTGTGTGTGTGTGTAAACATCCTCACTGGGGAGACAGAGGTGTGTGTGTGTAAACATCCTCACTGGGGAGACAGAGGTGTCGTGTGTGTGTAAACATCCTCACTGGGGAGACAGAGGTGTCGTGTGTGTGTGTGTAAACATCCTCACTGGGGAGACAGAGGTGCTGTGTGCGTGTAAACATCCTGACTGGGGAGACAGAGGTGCTGTGTGTGTGTGTGTAAACATCCTCACTGGGGAGACAGAGGTGTCGTGTGTGTGTGTGTGTAAACATCCTCACTGGGGAGACTAGAGGTGTCGTGTGTGTGTGTGTAAACATCCTCACTGGGGAGACTAGAGGTGTCGTGTGTGTGTGTGTCTGTAAACATTCTCACTGGGGAGACAGAGGTGTGTGTGTGTGTGTAAACATCCTCACTGGGGAGACAGAGGTGTCGTGTGTGTGTGTGTAAACATCCTCACTGGGGAGACAAAGGCTGCCGTGCCGAACCTTCGCTGGTTTGTAGAAGGCCGGCGAGTGGTGGGGGCGTGCGGGGATCTCGCTCTTCGTGTCTCGGCGTGCCGGTGGGAGCAGGCGACCCCGTGGCGAGCGGCACGGGGACGCTGGCGCTGCTGCTGTCGGACGTCAATGACAACGCCCCCGTCGCCCGGCCCGACGAGGCCGCGGTGTGCGGCGCGCCGGGCGGCGCCGTCGACGTCACCGCCAGGGACGCCGACGAGGACTTCAACGGCGCTCCCTTCGGCTTCCGGCTGGCGCCCGGGAACCCCGCCGCCGACGACAACTGGACCGTCCACCGGGTGGACGGTGTGTGGGGGGCCCCTCCACCACCCCCCCCCCCCCCCCACGCTGCCCTTGCACTGCGCCACCCACACTGCCACGTCCGGCTGTGCGGACAGCAAACCGCACTCACTCGCTTGCTCACAATCACGCAGCAATCACTCGCTCACAATCACTCAGCAATCACTCAGCAATCACTCAGCAATCACTCGCTCACAATCACTCAGCAATCACTCGCTCACCATCACTCACTCGCTTGCCATCACTCAGCAATCACTCTGCTCCCACTCGCTCGCCATGACTCCTACGCTTGCACTGCCCCCTACCCTGTCCCGCTCTGCCCCCACCTTGCTCTTGGCCTGTGTTGTCAGCAGAGGGCAGCGTAGCAGCAAAACCCAGCGCCCTACTCAAGGATTACTTCGTAATTATCTCACCCAGTATCTCGTTGTTTCTCGTGAACCGACTGAGCGTGGGGGTGGCACGCAGCTGAGCAGGAGCCAGTGGTATACTGGACATGGTGTGCCGGGTACGAAAATATTTTCCGGGTTTTTCCGATCCGGACGGATCCCCATTCCCCCTCTCCCCCTCCCCCCCCCAGCTTGAGCCGTAAGGCAGAGTCGCCAAATCCCGCCACGTTGATGGATCAAACACGGCGGCGGCGGGGTGCGGCATCGCAACGCGCAAAATCTTGTCCTCGCCCCAGGCCACCGCTCCAAAACAACCGAACGCGCCGGTCCATTGTCGTCGACCCGCACCTCGCGACCCGTCGGACGAGAGCCGGGAAAACGTCGCCGCCCCCGACCCCCTCCGGATTCGCCGGCGCTTTCCGAACGAGCGGGCGGCCCGGGACGCGGCCGAGAGCCGCGTCGTCGACTCTCGTCGCCGGCGCGACTCCCCGCGTCACGATGCGCCCGCCACCCCGCCCACGGCGCACCGCGCGACATCTCTCCGCTCCACGCTCCACGCTCCCCTCCCCTTCTGCCCCGCAGGCGGCGGCTCGCAGCTGCGCATGAAGACGGCGCTGCCCGAGGGCCTCTACTTGGTGCCGCTGCTCGTCACGGACTCGGGCAACCCCGCGATGAGCGCCGTGTCGGAGCTCCAGGTGAAGGTGTGCGCCTGCGACCGGCGTGGCGACTGCGTCGGCCGCGACGCCGCCGGCGGCCTCAATGCCGCCGGCGCCGAGGCCGCCCTCCTCTGCCTGCTGCTGCTGCTGCTTCTCGGTGAGTTTGACGTCGTCGGCATCTTTTTGATTTAAAGCTTTCGTGACTGCAGCGATTCATATTCTTAGCTCTTTCGGTAAAGTCACCATGTTGAAGGGAAACAATAAAATAATAAAATATATATAAAACAATAAAAATTCTCACGACGTTTCGACCATAACACAAACGGACACACCTGATGACGACCGTTTGTGTTATGGTCGAAACGTCGTGAGAATTTGTATTTTATATATATTTTATTGTTTTCCTTCAACGTCACTTTACCGAAAGAGCTAATGATTCCGGACATACAATACCCTGGTGTCTACAAACTAAGTTGCCTCTGTGGTAGTAGTTACATTGGAGAAACCAAACGCCATATCTCGGACCGCATTCGTGAACATAAAGCAGACCTTAAACACGGTAGGACCAACACCTCGGCCGTAGCAGATCATTGTTCTAATTCAGTAGGCTCACATGCCATTGACTTTTCCAAGACGGAGGTTCTTTGTAAGCCATCTGGCTTCCATGAGAGATTCGTTCATGAGGCTATCCACATATACAAGCACAGAGACAATTTCAACCGAGAAGATGGATTCTATCTTAGCAATCATTGGAAAGATTTGATAAATCATTTCAGTTCTTGATTGATTGTTCACGCTTACAGTGGCTTTCAGACAGCATACATAAAAACAAATTTCGTCTCCCCCCTCCTCTTTTCAAAAAATAGATGGACTAGTCCTGGCAAACTGCCAATCGTTGCGCGTGACGCAAACGTTATTTTTATATATAAATAAATAAATAAATATGCCGTTTTCAAAATAAATTTATGCAAACCGACACACCTGATGATGACCGTTTGAGTTATGGTCGAAACGTCGTGAGAATTTTTTATTGTTTTATATATATTTTGTTATTTTGTTGTTTCTCTTCAACGTGACTTTACCGAAAAAACTAAGAATATAAATTACTGCAGTCACGAAAGCTTTAAATCAAAATTTAATATAATAGCCGTCGGTATCGTTCGGGGGGACCCGGTGCTGCGGACGCGGGGCCCCCCTCCGGCGGCGCGGGGATTCGTGCGGCGAGATCTCCGTTCGTTCGCGGAGGATTTCCGCGGTTTGACCGGGGCGGGTCGCCCCCCCCCCCCCCGCGTGCAGTCCTGGCGCCGCTCTTCGTCGCTCGCAAGAGGCGCCGCGACGAGAAACCGCTCTGCGACCCCGAGGACGAGGAGGAGGGCGGCGACGTCTTCACGTACGACGACGACGAGGGCGGGGGAGAGGAGGACCGGGTGAGAGGCGTGCTCGCACATCTGCGCGGTGCGTTTATGCGGTAGTGCGGTGGTGCGGTGGTGCGGAGAGACGGCAGTGTGGCGGTGGATGCGGTTTGACTGTCCAGCGAGAGACCCTCTCGCGGTGGCGGCAGCGCCCTGCGTGCCCACGCGCCGGCGAGATGACGGCGCGGTCTGCTGCCGCAGGACTACGACCCGGCGCTGCTGCTGGTTCGGCTCCCGAGCGAGCTGCCGCCGCCGCGCCGCGAGGGCCCCGGCGTGCGCCACCTGGACGAGCGGCCGTCGCTGGCCGAGCCGCGCTACCCGCACCCCAGCGACATCGGCGACTTCATCAGCGAGGTGGGTGGTAAGGGGGGGTGGGTGGGTGGGTGGGAGAGGTGGCAAACGCCGCACGCACGTAGGGGATGGAACCGCGCACGACCAAACCCAGCGCCGCGCACGTGAACCATCGCCGCCACCGCCCCGTCAAACGATGCACGAGACAAAGGTCCCGTTGGCGAGGAGCGGTGCACGGAGGAGGGTGGGTGGCCGGCACCATGCCCGCTGGCCGTCTTTGTCTCCCCCCCCAGTGGCGATGTTGACACGCCGCGCCCGGGGACTCGATTGAGGCGGAGTCGAGCTAGGGGGGGAGGCCCAGGACCGGGTCAGATAATCGTCACCCCGGTGTTTGCTCGTGAGCGGGAATCCGACTCGGGCCGCCGGGTTTCGTAACGCCCCCAATTGGCGCAGTTGGCTACGTACGGCGCAGTGGAAGTTCTACGTAGACACGTACGTAGTGCGGCGCGCTGACCACTACACCACTACACCACCACACAGCGCACAGCGTGTAGATGATGATGATGTCGTCTTAGTGGTGGACGACGTCATTGCTGGCGACGTAATCGCCGATGTTGTTGATGCCATGGCGACCTTTTGCCGTTGCTACTCAGGTCACCGTCGTCGGCGGCGGCGGCTGTCGATGTCGATGACGTCATCGTCGGTGCCGCCATTTGTATTGTTGCTGATGCCGTCACAAACGTCACCGTCGTCATCATTGGATGTCGATGACGTCATCGGTGCCGACGTTTGTATCGTTGCTGATGCTGTCACAAACGTCACCGTTGTCGTCGGTTGTCGACGTCGATGACGTCATCGTCGTTAACGTCACCGTCTGTCTCCGGCGGCGGTGGTGGTGGTGTTCTGGCTTCCAGGGCCTGCGCACGGCCGACGACGACACGACAACACCGCCCTACGACTCGCTGCACGTGTTCCACCACGAGGGGGACGGCTCCCTGGCCGGCTCGCTCAGCTCGCTCGACTCTTCGAGCGCGGGGGGGGGCGGCGACGACGACGACCACCACGACTACTACGACTACTACGAGCGTCTCAACTCGTGGGGGCCGCGCTTCCGTAAGCTCGCCGACATGTACGGCGGCGGCTGTGACGACTGAGACCCCCCACCACCACCACCACCCTGCCCCCCACCACCACCACCTACTACTCTCAACCCCACTCTCTCCTCGTCGTCATTTCCCCCTCCCCCCCCCCCCCGTGCACCTCCACTCACCCCCCCCACACCTGCCAGCCTCGCCTACCCCCCCCGGCACCCACCCACCACAATACCCCCGTGACCGGCTGCCCACCGCATAGCACCGGCTGGACTGCCGATCCACCAGCCAGTGCGCCTGCCTGTCCGCCTGCCCGCCTGCCCGCTAGCAGCAATTTTGAGTTTGGAGGCTACTCCTTTTTTTCTTCTTTTGGGGGGGGTGGGGGAGTGGAGGTATAACCCGACTGGAGGACGAGGCGACGGTACGTGTAACGACTTCGTGGTACCAGGGCGGCGCCGCTGTGGTCCCTCCCCCCCCCCCCGGCGAGGGGTAATCTGCGTTGGTTCACGACGTCGGGAACGGGAGGAAGTGGGCGTGCTTGCGGCGACGCGGTTCCAGATCTCCGGGTACGGACGAAGCCGATCCCGCGTCGGGTTTATGATGCGTTTAGAAATTCATGGACGGCTTTTTCTCAAGTCCGCGTCGCGACCTTGGACGAGGGGAGGTTCCTCGTCAACGAATCGGCGACGCTGAACGTTGGTTTGAGACGAAACCGGCCGGCCCGCCCACCCGCCCGCGAGCTGAACCGCAAAAAACCACGGCCGCCGGTTAAAAAGGGGCGAGTGGGCGGGGTGAGTGAGCGGGGAGGGGCGGGCGAGCGATTTTAAGCGAGCGCCGTCGCTAACGCTCAAGTTGGTACGTCGGAGCGACTCCCCCAAGTGACGCTGCTGCCCGTGGGTTCCCAGGTGCCCCCCCCCCCCACGTACTCCACAACTCCAGCCTCATGAACCATCGTTGGCCGAGACAATGACGTCTCTCCTCTTACCCCACCCCCGCCTCTGCCCAGTATAGTCGCATGGATAATGAGTTTATGGGACTGTACCAACCAATCACGTCAGCCGGGGGGTGGGAGGGGGGGGGTGTCGGGGCTCTACCGACAGACGTGGTTGCCAGCAGGCGGTGATGTGCAAACTTGCGGTGTGCCACCGCCTGCGTTTTGAATGGTTCAACTAATCACGACTAATCACGACTATAATCACGACTAATCACGACTAATCACGACTCTAATCACGACTCTAATCACGACTCTAATCACGACTAATCACTTTTAGGCGGTGGAGTTGGGGCAGCAAGCAATGAGGCCTCCTGCCCCGTTTTCAGCGCTGTGGAAATATAAGCTTCATAAAAAACTCTGTTGATTTGAGCTCGGCCTCTGTGGCTGTTAACTTGCCGAGTACAACATTTATTTAAGTGCCTATTTGGGTTCAGCACTGGGCGCCGGCTCAGCAGAGCTGCCGTGCCAGGGGCCATGGGGGGGTGAGGGGGGGCGGAGCGGTGGGTGGGGCGGTGAGCCGGCCGTGGCAGCAACCGCGCCCCGCGGAGACGGAGCCGCTCGCCGTCACAGAGCCTGGCGGAACAGCTCGCCGTGACGTAGCCGCCGCCACGGCGGTGCGACGTAACCAGCGGCAACGTAAAACCACGGCGATGGAGCTGCGCGTGGCGATGTCACCACGTCGACGTGAGCCGCGCGCCGACACCGATTGGACCGTGGTGCTAGAGGCCCTCGCGTCGTAATGGAGCCACGCTCGGTGAGCGAACCACGCTCGCGGTTACAGAACCGCCACCACCACCGCCCCCTCATATCGAGACTCGCAGGGCTCTAACCAGCGCCATGCGCGGCGCACGATTGATTTTTTTTATTTCATTTTTTTGATCGGGTGCAACCGCAACAAACATAAAACGTGAACATGAAAACATCTTAAAGTGACTATGCGCAAACAGAAAAATCCGGGAAAAAACAGCAAAAATCTTCCACGAAAAGCACCGTACTCCCACGCTCTGTGCAAAAATTCCAGCGGGATGCAAGTCAAACAACAACAACAAGACAACTTAGATTAAAGCCATCATTCTAACTCCGTACTACAACAGAAAAAACATGGCCAAACCAAAAAAAACTTTTCACACGGTTGCCCTGGCAACAATTACAGTTTCCTGGCAACCAAATCCAACATTTGCCTGGCAGTCAGGTGCATGCAGTAGCTCACAGCAGTTGATTTTATCGATGATTTTTTTTTGCGACGATTATGAAAGTATTTTGAGCGTCCTCTGTTCTTTTAGTGCGGCCGCTCCCCCCGCCTCCCACCCCCCCGACCGCGTGATGGGGGGCGATAAGAGGCGGCTTTTATGTAAAGGTGTGCGCGGGTGTGCCCACGTGTGTACACTTACGCGATCCACCGCCCAACGGTTTCACAATAAACGACGACCCCCGTTCCCTGACTCCTCCGCCGTGCGGCGTTCACTCGCTCGCTGCACCCCACGCGAACGGGAACCGGACCGGCGCACCTGCCGGGCGGAAATTGAACGACGACAAACAGAAACGCGAGGCCGGCGGCCGGACCTCGGGCCGCGTGCTCGACCGCGGGGAGGGCACGGCCGAAGCCGGACTACTCGCGCAGTGGCCTCCGGCGCTTGCGCCAGGCTAGGTGCGCCCCGTTCACCGCTCGCACGGTAAACGGAGCGTCTCTCGTCTCTCGCGCGTGCGAGCGCCGCCGCCCGATGCGAGCGCCGGCTGGGAGGGGCGCCGCGGCAGCGGGAGCCGGAGTCGAGGAGGGCGCCCGCGGCGCCGAGATTCTCCGCCAGGCCGAGGCCGACGACGGACGGCGGCGAGAACTCGGGACGGCCGGCGGGGCGATTCGCCGTCGATGTCCACCGAGGGGCCTGGCGATGTTTGGAAAGATAAAATGTCACTGTTCGATAACTTCCACGTGTTCGTTAAAGGAGAGCTGAAAAAACTGTCAGGTTTTCTTGCAGCGGCTGCGTACGCCGCTGCGATTTGTCTGGACGATGTTAATTTGAAATTGCCAGCCCCTTCTCTCGAGACGGGGGGGCGCATGTTTGAGCATGCGGGTTGGCGAAAGGGAGGCCCAGGAGCGGTTCGGGTATCAGCCTCCATCGATGTGAAGGTCCCATTGTGGAGTTGAATCTTCATCTTCACATTTCACCTTCAATTCTTCGCTCTTCACCATCACTTCTTCACTCTTCACCATCACTTCTTCACATTTCACCTTCACCTCTTCATATTTCACCTCGATATCTTTAAAAGTGTCCAAGCTGGGATTTTCTTCCGGTTCTTGTTTCATGAGGGATGGGCTCATTGCGGCACTTTGACTTTCACAAGCTGATTTCAGACTCCACTCCTTGTTGATCTTCTGATGCTTGTGTGTTGTCTGGTGTCCATGAAGAGTTGATGACTGTGAAAACGCCTTCCCACACACACTGCACTTGAAGGGTTTCTCTCCTGTGTGTGTTCTCTGGTGTTTTACAAGAGTAGATGAATGTGCAAACGCCTTCCCACATACACTGCACTTGAAGGGTTTCTCTCCCGTGTGTGTTCTCTGGTGTGTTACAAGAGCAGATGAAACTGAAAACGCCTTCCCACACACACTGCACTTGAAGGGTTTATCTCCTGTGTGAGTTCTCTGGTGTACATGAAGATGTGGTGACTGTGCAAACGCCTTCCCACACACCCCGCACTTGAAGGGTTTCTCTCCCGTGTGTCTTCTCTGGTGTCTTTGAAGATTTGGTGACTGTGAAAACGCCTTCCCACACACACTGCACTTGAAGGTTTTCTCTCCCGTGTGTGTTCTCTGGTGTGTTACAAGAGTAGATGAACGTGAAAACGCCTTCCCACACACACTGCACTTGAAGGGTTTCTCTCCTGTGTGTGTTCTCTGGTGTGTTACAAGAGTAGATTAACGTGAAAACGCCTTCCCACACACACTGCACTTGAAGGGTTTCTCCCCTGTGTGAGTTCTCTGGTGCAATGTCAAATGTTCAGTACGATCCGTGCTGTATGGACACCGGTCGCATTGATGCCTTTTTGCACCGAGCTGCACCGAGTGCCTTTGCTCCATCAGTAAAATTCTGCAGAGGAAGCGACAGCTGCAGAGAGACAAAAATAATATCCACACCATCTACACGTCAGTATCGATGCACAGAGGAATGCATATATACAGTCACACGTGACTAACACGTCTATACTTATTCATATATTCATGTTATAGTGAAAAAGTGTCCCAAATTCATCACACGAGCTGTTATGGCACGCAATGAGGGCAAATGTCATAAACGTGCCTGTAAGCGCTCGTATCTTCAAAATGAATGTTAACCCAAAACTCCGAGCACACAATTTCGGCTGTCTGGCTTCAAAATGAATATTTATGAAAGCTAAATTCAGGTGACCTAGCAAAGGGTGTTGAAAATAATACTATTTGTGTTATGCAGAAATGCATAAATTAATGTTCAATCACAACTTATAGGTGTGAAGCCAGGCACAGATGTCCTTGAATGCTGGGATGAACAGTTCCGACCAGCTGCACGTGTGCTGTGATAACTTCCCGACTACATTCTTAGAAAGAGTAGCAGAGGAAAACAAAAATAAACTACTGTTTTTATATAACCTCCGTGCTCAATAGAGTTAGACTTTACTGCAAATACAAACTGTATCAACGATATATTGAAATGACAAGAGGGACCTTGAAAGTGTTTCTCAGAGGGGAGAAACACCTTAGGCCAGGGGTCGGGAACCTATGGCTCGCGAGCCAGATGTGGCTCTTTTGATGATTGCATATGGCTCGCAGATAAAACAAAATATTCTCACTTGTTTTAATCCATCCATCGATTTTTCACTGCGCATGTCCTGTTCAGGGCTGCAGGAGCAATTGTCCATTATTTTAATTGGATGATACTGGCCTACGTTTGCCGTTGCTGGGTAAAACATGTAAACGCCCTCTTTTGAATCAGTCTGAGACTGCGTCTGCTCGGTCATTAGCTCAAAGCTAATTCTTCGACGAAGAAGATGGCGAAAAGAAAAAAAGACGACGAGTATCGTACATTTCAGGACG